GCTTAATTTTCTAATTTTTTAACGATACAATACGACGATTATTATTTTAAAAAATTTTTGTTAGGCTTAACATCGATGAAAATTTCAACGCGAAGTAGGTTAATAATGATATACTAATATACTAATTACATGGGATATAATAATATACTACACTAATAATGGATTTTTTCATACTTTTCGGTTATCCGACTTTTCAATTATCCGACCAACCCCAGTCCCCAATTAGGTCGGATAATCAAGGTTCTACTGTATATGTCTTTCCACATCAAATTAGTAGTGTCTTGCCCCTGTACGTCATATTTTTCTGTTAGCAATATAGTCATGTCAGTCATCTACCTAACTCCTTTCAGGGGGAAATTTTTAAATTGAAATAATGACTTCTGGTTTGCATCAGAAGTTTGTATATAGTTAATTGAGGCCTCCTGCCCCAAATCTTTCCATATCTGGTCTCAGCTTTCATCTATCTAACTCAGTGATTCCCAAACTTTTTCGATCCACTGCCTCCTTTGTTCCATAAAGTTATACCCAACGCTCCCTAACCCATTTTCTCTTGTGTGAGAAAGGATTGGAAATATTCTTAGAAAAACTTTTCTACAAATCTCACACTTTGTGCCCTTACCGTACATTGTTCTCAACATCTGGAAACCATTAAACGCAATGCTTCCTCTTATCAGTTTAACAGAGGAAAGGGAACGGCTTTCAGTGACCCCAATTTTGCCTTTGGTCATCGTTCAATACCCTGCCTCCAGCGCCCCCTACATTTACTCATCGCCCACAAGGGGGCGTTATTGCCCACTTTGAGAAACGCTGATCTAACCCTTCTCAAGATTAAGGAACAATGGATAACAGTGAGAATTGTAGACCTATAATGTCTACAATTCATAAATTACAGTTAGAATTTATGAATTTAAAAACATTGAATTTGAAAACATTGAATGTTTATGAATTTAAAAACATTGTAGACCTATAAATTAAAACACAATTAAAAGTCTGGCCTTTACACTAAAACTAAAAGTAAAAATAAAATAAAAATTCAAAATAACTATTTACAAAAATGGAGTCAGATTAATTATCCAATTCTTACTTAATTGTATTGTAGAAAAATATACAAAAAATCAATTTTCTTTCCTTTCTGACTTACGGAGGTATAATAACTTACTGTATGCTAAAAACCCTTACTGAGGAGGCCAAAAATCCAGAGTTGCATATCTGTTTATAGGATTTCTTTGAAAAGTGTTAGTTTTGGTTTTGGTTGACAGTGATGGAACATTTTGCTTTTACTATAACTGTGTATAATAAAATTTTTAAAAAATAAAATACATTAAATATATGATATATAGAGTAGATATATATAATACAAATTAGATATAGATAAAAGTGTACAAAGCACACAGTACGATTAGAATGTTTTTGTTTCAAACCAACCAACGGTAGGAATAGTTTGGAAAAATTGAAATGGCATGCTAAACAATCATAAAAGGCAGATTTGTACAGTTTTATATGTGAAATTGTGCCCAGGGAATTGAAAAAAATCAGAAAAAATCCATTGTCTAAGTTGGCATATTCGACAACCTGGCACTGCATTGGTTCCAATGATGCTGGGTTAATGGAATGTCAATGCTGTATTATAATAATTTTAAATTAAGAAGAATATACTTTCAATTACTGTTGTTATAATTTTTAGTGAAAATATTGAACATATGAGGATTATCCGTGAATCAAAGCCAAATCAATACATGGTTCTTTTCAAGTTCAAAAATCAAGTAAATTATATTTCATTTATATATAAATATATATTATGTATTAATAGCTTATAATATATGAGACAATAAGCAAATATTTTCCTTAAAATGTTTTTATTGCTATATAAATATTTCTTGAGAGATCATCTTTATTTCATCTTATGTTTCTAATATATTTGTGTCTAATATTTTTATAATTTTGTATTCACACTAACTCAGTCATATTAAGAACTATACATACAGTGGAATCTCATTTTAAAAGATCGCACAATAAGATTTTTTTCAAGGTTCCACCAAATCAATGTAATTTTACTTCCTTTTAGTGGATCTATAACTTCGAATAGCAGATTTTTTCTAACCCCAACTACTATAAACATCATATATTTTTCAATGTTGAATTAATATTTGGGTGTTTTCAGGGACTGAATTAAAAAAATACATTGTGTATGGAGCAGAATACATGCATAATCATCAAGGTTTATATTGCTAACTTTGCAGACATGAATTGTTACCTTCCTGTAGTGCATTGATTATTGGAGGGAAGTTACTTGTGGTTGTTGTACTCAATGGGCAGAAAAGCAGCATCAAAATTAAGATGGATTTGTTTATTAAGAAATCATAAAGTCAGGTGAAGTGCTAATGAGCACTGCACTTTGCCTCTTTTGTGCCATGTAGTTTCTGTCAGCTTTGTTGTACAACACATATGGTATAATGGTACATCTTGTAACATATGTGCTTCTTTAAAATAAAGGATAGAGATCTCAAGGGACTGTATTTCCTATATTTAGGGGGTTTAAAAAATGAAAATTGTTTCAAATAATGGATATTTTCCTGGGTGTGCAGAAAATCCATTGTTTGTTATATAATGGATTCTCAGAACAATAGATGATGACAGTCCAAATGATTCATTAAAATGAGATTTTACTGTATGTAGTAGATTTTAAAGCTTATATGTAATATAATATGTTAAATTTATCAATACATTTTCTTACAGCAAACAGCTGATGAATTTTATAAAAATTTTAATGGAATTCAGTTCAATTCAATTGAACCAGAAATATGCCATTTAGTTTATGTTGCTAAAGTAGAAAGTGTTAAAGAATCAGAGGTAAGACAATTTTAAATATGATTTTTACATCTTTTAAAAATTCAATAGTAGTTTCCTTAATTTCAAAGTTATAATATAAAATATTCAATTAATTATGTTAAAACATGTTACAGTGGTATTTGATAAGAATCTCAGTAAAGAATCTCTAATTACAATATTTTTATTTAAATGATTATCAAATGCCACTTTAATGTTTAGCCATGATTGACTGAATTAATGTATTGTACATAAAAAAGCTGAAGAATCTGTTATTGAGTATCTGTCATAAAAGAATTCCAAATGTACAGTAAAATGTTTTTTTCTAATGATTGAAAATTGTGAAATAATGTTTATGTGAAAATTAAATTTTGTATAAGATTTTACTACAAATCATAATTAAAATTAATTTTTTGGGGCTTGATAATTTTCATATTCCTGTGAGGTCCGAACCACCTCCATTTGTTTTTGTATTCTCTTTTCCTTGAGAAACATTGATGTAAAATATTTTTTTGTTTCAAAAGGTGCAAAGAGGAAATGTGTTGTTAAAGAAAATATAATTTGGGTGAGCTAAATGTTGGGAAGGGAGAAATTGTAAACAAGCACTCAATCACCCACCTGATATGTAATATGAACAGAGGGGAAAATGCTTTATTTTTTCAGGGTGTGGATTAAAATCTTTAGCCACAGCTGCATCCTTCTCCAAACAGAAAGTGAAAATACATCTTTTCCTAATTATGGGCTGCCACCCTGAGGAAGTCGTAATTAAGATGTTAACCTACTACTTCAGGGAATTCTATCAAATCCAGCTGGGTAAAGAGGTCCATAAATTTTTCATTGATGGTCTGTCCTAGATACATCAGATCCATCCCTCACCATCCTGCCACCATATTGTAGACCTGGACAAGTCTATGATGAGCTTGGAGAAAAGGCTCTCTTAGTACCCACAAAGCAAAAAGAGTCCAAAATAAAAAAGTTGGAGTTTGATCTTCATATTACAATACAGTGATTTGATATGATGTGATTGTGATTCATCTTTGGTGTCATTTTAAACTTTATTTATTTTTGTGAAGACTATGAAAAATAAACTTTGAATGTGAAGACTATGAAAAATAAACTTTGTTTATTTTTCATAGTCTTCACATTCAATAATTGAAATTATAACAATAACAATAGAAAACAAACATTTTCTTGTGCATATGTTTGAAAATAGAACATACAGATAAACTTTTTATTAAAAAAAGAAAAAAAAACCCATTGAAATTCCATAAGCAATATATGCTAGTTTTGATATCATTTATGTTATAAACAGATTCAACATTGCAGAATATTTTACTTATATAGATATTTACTTTAAATTCTGTATTTATCCATTGAAAGGGAAAAACCATTTTGAATTAGATTTATTAATTAAATATCTTAGTGTTTAAGTATGTTGTTTTAAATAAAGACAAAAGACATTCTTACTTTACATTTATAACTGAACTTGTTTTATGTTTCATTTTATTTGTTTATGAAATTAAATACAGATTCTGTGCCTAATTTTAAGTAAAATAGTATTCAGAAACATTTATTTTACAGGAAGTTTGCTTACCTGTTCCTGGGCATACTGAATTACCTACTTGTCCTGTGTGTTTGGAAAGAATGGTAAAATAGTTTTTATACTTTAAAAAGCTGGTAGATTTATATAATTATAAACTATCTAAAAAATAAAATTAGATATACATTTTTAATAATACTTTTTAAAGTTTATTATTATAAAATTTTAAAATATATTTTAGGATGAATCTGTTGAAGGTATCCTGACAATATTATGTAATCATTCATTTCATAGTAGCTGTTTGGCAAAATGGGGAGATACTAGGTAATTTTGTAACTTTTTTTATAATTTGCTATATGTTATATGAAATTTTTCACAAGCAAACACATAATAATAATTAATTTCTAATTACAATGTTTTATGTTGTAAACTGGCAGTAATATTTTTATATGTTCAATCAGTGACAAAAATTTATGGTGGAATGCACGAGAAACTGTAAGGTAAGATTTGCTCTTAATGCTTAATGTGCACATCATAGATTTTGGCAACAGAAAGTTTTTGACTGCAGCACTCCTTTTTGGTTCACAACCTGCATAATGATAATTCATCAACACTATTTGTTTGTCCTTACTGAAATGTGTTTATTTCCTTTATTGCATTTGCTAATCTGTGGTTGTTAATAGCTTCAAATTGTAATTTCTGTAATATTTTGATGTATCATAAAAAATGTGCAACATCCTTTTGGAAAAATGGAATTTATTTATGCAGTTTGATTTATTATGTGTTGGCATATTTGTTTCTAATAACAAATGTTAAATTTTAAATAGTGCAATAACCTTTTAAGAAATTAAATAGATATATATATAAATAATTTAGGCTTAAAATAAATTTAAAATTTCTTAAACATTATACTTAATTATTTATTATATTTGAAACAAATATACAGAATTTTATTAAAGCAATAGAAATATTTTGTGTTATGAATAAATTCTGTACAAATATGTTTTGAATTTTAAAATTTGAAATATATATGTATATTTAATAATTTTTAAAATTTTTTAATAGCTGTCCTGTATGCCGATATTGTCAGACTCCCGAACTGGAACCAGATAATCGTTGTTTTGGTTGTGGTTCACAAGAGGTATGATTTAAAATAATTTTATTAAAGGTAAAAGATGATTATGAAAAATAAAAGAAAATAAACTATCATAATTTCCTGTGTATAGCCCACATCAATGTGTACTTGGCAAAAAATTGCTAGAAAAATAAAAACTTATCCATTAAAACAACTTGACATTAAAACATTAAAAACTCATAATCCATACCTTCAATTGGGTGTTGAAAATTTGACACTGGAATGCAATTTAGAAGATATTGTCTCAAACATTGCATTTTTTCCTATTTCCTTAATTTTATATAAGCTGAACATTTTATTTTAGATGTAATTAGAAAATAATTGGAATAGTAAAAGCAGTATTTGAGATAGAACTGCATAAAGTACTAAAAGACAAATTTTTTATCATTTCACTTCTGTTTTATTAATAACAACAACAACAATAGTAATTAGCTAAAACAAACTCTTAATAAAAATATAATGTTAATAAAATCTATTATCATCATCATACTGACAGATCCTGGAGTAGAAAACAGTTCAATTTAAAAAGAAATGAATATTTTTTTTCATAAAGTTGAAGTAATATTTTAGTTAATATTTGGGAACATTTGATAAAACAGGAAAAGAAAGATAAAAATTTATTAATCTATGCATCTTGCCTCAACTTCCTCTGATTCAGCAGATGCTTAGTTCCTGTTAAATGGAAATTTACCAAGAGTATGACCACATTGGGAGCAAACCTGATTGGTGGTCAATTCTCTATAAAAGGGGGACCATACCTTCATTCAGGGCTGCTTTAGTCATCCTAACAGCCAAAATGTGGTCCCCAATTTAGATATCTAATGTAAAAGAGAAGACAAGGGTCTCTCCATGTAATATGCTCATTTATTGTAAGGTATCTCAGTCAGCGATAGTATCCCACAGTTTAGTCAATGGTCCCATTGTTATGTTAATGTTTTAATTAGCTTTGTTGCATTGCTGGTCTTTGTATATATTGCATATCCTTAAATATATGAGGTGTGTTTTTTAAGTAAATACCATTTTCATATTAAAAAAACACAAGTGCAGTTTTTTAACAATTTTATTCATACATGAAAGCCTGTATCTTAATCTATTTTTCAACATAATTTCTTCCAATATTAAGGCACTTATCATATTGTACAACCAGCTTCTGAATTCCTTAGAAACCTGGCACCTGATTTGTTAACCACTGCAGCACAGCCATTTTGATTTCATTGTTGTAGCGCTGATTGCCTAGATGCTTTTTCAAGTGGAGGAAAAATTAGTAGTCACTAGGCACTAGATCAAGGCTACATGAAAAGTGATCAAGTTGTTCCCAGCCAGATGATGTGATAAGGTCTCAGGTTCGTTGAGCCACGTGTGGACAGGTATTGTCATGAAGAAAACAATCCCCTTACTGAGCTTGCCATGCCTTTTGTTTTGGATGACGAAATCGTAAAGCCTCTATTTTCTCAAACTTTTGCATCAACTTTCTCCACCAAGTCTTGACAAGATGATTGCCTACTATGCGCCTCATCATGGACATTAGTATGACCATCTTTAAATGCTCTAACCCATTTTCTTATTCCATCGTTCATAATGTTTTTTCCATACACCTCACTAATCTGCCAACGAGTGTCAGTCACTTTCGTATCTTTTACATTAGAAAATGAATCACCGTGCATACTTCATAATTGGCAGGATTTTCAACTGTCTGAGGCATTTTAAACATACACAAACAAACTTAAAACAAATAAATGCTTCCATAATGGCATCTGGCTAGCCAACAGATGTAGGGACTCAGCATGCATTCACATTACACCAACCGCAGCACTGCAGTGGCCCTATTTTAAAACAGTACTTACTTAAAAAGCACACATCATATATCTTAATAAATAGCTAGTTAGTAGTGGATTTGTCTCTACCTCCATTTGTAAATCAACACGACCCCTCCAATTAGACTTCAGACATCACTGCTCAGACATTAAACTGCTGATTAGAAGTACTTGCAAGTTAGGGCACAAATTTAGAATTTCTCTAGCTGGTGTCAGGACCCTGATATCAAAAGGATATCACTGTCCTGAAGACAAATAAATTATTTAGCCATCCTCGACAAGTGAGCAGTGGCCTTACTGATCCCAATCTCACAATACCTAATTAAATTCAACTTCCAAATTGATGTCAAGTGAAAATCTGATTTGTGATATTAGGATTATTTATGACACCATCACCACCATAATAATGTAACAATAGCATTAACAGTAGGCACTAGTATTAACTGAGTAAGATACATTCTGTCAAAATCATAATAATAAATATGAAGTCAAAATCTAAACTGTTTTCAACATTTCCTTAAAAAATATACATATGTAAAATATTAGCTAAAATTCATTTTTTAGCTAATGTTTTGTAATTAATAATAATAATAAATTTGTTTTTCTGTTTTCCAGTACAGATTGAAATTTTAAAAACTATCAATTCTAGAAAAATATGCATATTTGAGAAATACAATAATTTGATTACTATTCTTTATTATTAGTACAATGAATTTTACTTTTTAATTACTACACTGATTGATCTCAATTTATTAAATTGTTTTCTAGAATTTATGGATATGTTTGATATGTGGTCATATTGGATGTGGAAGATATGTAGAAGGACATGCATATAAGTAAGTATTTATAAACTATTTAATCTCAGAACTGCCAATTTTGTTTATATGCACTAATGAAACATTGATTTAAATTGGCATTAAGAATGCAAAGTAGTACTGCTTGGCATTAAGAATGCAAAGTAGTACTGCTTGTTTAAGACAATCAAAGAAATGCTTTTTAGTTTTTCTGCATCCATCATCAACTTTGATCCACATATAAAGAAACAATGTTTGTACAACAGTATTTAATCAAATTTGATGTGTAAACAGTTTAATTCTTTTATTTTAATTTTACAATATAAAGAAAATTTTTAAATTTAAATTTTGTGCGAATATATGTATCTTTTTAGTATGTTAACCATTTGACATATAAGTTTGAACTCTGTTCAATAAATATTGTTAATTTAAATTGGTTATATTCTTATATTTATTGTATTTTTTCTGTGAATCATAACAAATTACTCAAATTGACGATAGTTTGTCAGCCTACTATTTAAAAAACTAAATTTTTGGTAATCTATCACTAATCATGAACAGATACAAAATAAGAAAAAGAAAATTATGAACAAATCTAGATTTGTGTATTCAGCAGAACCCAAATATCTACACTAGTGTGCACTTAAAACTGACTAAGTGCTTAATGTTTAAACTGAAAGTTGAATTTCTGCTTTAAGCCTTTGGCATGTGCTGTAGAGTCCATCAGAGTGGCAGTGGCCAAAATCTCTCTGAAACTAAATTGGATAAAACTTTAAATTATGCTTACTTTAGATTATTATTGTTAATAAAGTTCTACTTAGAACTTATTTACATGATTATCTTTTTGTTTAATTTGATTTAATGTTGACAAAACAACATTTTAGTATTATATTATATAAGGTAATCTTGGGCACATTGGAGCATCCTTGAAAAAAGAACTACAGATAAAAACCAGAAATCTTTTCACTGTATTAACTTAAGTAATTTTATTTATTGTCTTAGTTATTCTTTGTTAATCTTGCAGAAAATAAAATATGAGTGCCATATCATATTGTATTAATAAATTGTTGATAATATACTAAATGTCATTAATTGTTAATATCTGTGAATTTACTATGCATATTAACACATTTCATATTTTCAGACATTATCTAGAAACTCAGCATACTTATGCAATGCAATTAGGTAATAACAGGGTTTGGGATTATGCAGGAGATAATTATGTTCATCGACTAGTTCAGAATAAAACTGATGGAAAATTAGTAGAACTGGAACCTCGCTGGGCAAGTTTTTGTATTTTATTGCAAATATATTGAATTTTATAAAATATTTTTTTGTCATTGATTTTTTCTGTTTCTATCTAGGCTGAGCAAGAAGAAAAATTAGATTCAATAAAATTAGAGGTAAAAAAAATTTTGTTACTTCATTTACCATTAGATAAATATTTATAGTTTTTCGTTTATATTTGTATCCAAAAATAATTTTTAGGTAAGAATTAGATTTATATTATAATATATTTTCAGTATACATACTTACTTACAAGTCAACTTGAAACCCAAAGGCACTTCTTTGAAAGTCGAATGAGTAGAATGGAAGAAGAATCTCATAGACAGGTAAATAGTCAAAGTAATCCTTTAATATTTAAATCCAGGCCAATAACTTTCAGAGAAATAAAATCTTTGTCATATTTAAAAATATAAGTAAATCCATGATGTCAAATACAATAATGATTTTGACCTAATTTTCAGAGGTCAATTAATTTTTTAAATATTGAAGATAATGGAAAGATATCAAACTAAAGAGTTTTAGAAAGAGGATTAGTAATAACTGAAATCAGGGATGGAGAGTTGGAGTCAGGAGTTAAAAACTTAACAATTCTTTACGTCATGTTGATGTTTAAAAAATTTTTAAAGGCCATTGATGTTTCTAAGGTCAAAGTATGTAAATTATGATACTAATTTTAAAAAAGTTTTATTTAAAACTAATTTTAAATAAAATAAGATATGAATATATAAAGTCAAAGTATAACCTTACAGATATGAGATTAAACTTTAGAGGATAGATTCCAGTTTTCAGAAAAAAGTAAAGATTTTTTTTCCCCTTTTTAAATTCAAATTCAAACATTTTTCTTAAAAGTTATATTTTTGTATATAAATAGAAATATTATTTTTGTCAAAAGGTTATTTCAGCCTATTTCATTTCTATTAAACAGAAGTACTGACTTACTAATAGTGCATTAGTGAAAGGAATCAAGAGTTGGAGTTGATTTTAAAAATATTAAGTCAGAAGTTGTGTATTTTTCACCAACTCCCCATCCCTGTTTGAAATAACTTTTACTTCAAATTTACAAAGGAAAAAGAATCCATTGTTTTTTTTTGTGGGAAGCATAGTATTAGCATTGCATAACTTAGCTATATATCAGTCAAATATATTTATATATAAATGATCATTTCTTAGCATTTTTCATTTTTAAATTTGAAATAATTTTTTTTTTTTTTGCAAATTTCCATGTTTTGAGACCACTGAACTCAATGTAATTTTTTCCTTTTTTATTTTTACTTTTTTGTGTGTCGGCATCTGTTTTGTTTAATAACTCAGGATAGGCTAAAGATTAAGTAACGAAATTTGGTATGTTAGCTTGTGTATAACGGGCATTGATGCTATTAAATTTTGCTGGTTTAAAGGTCAAGAAAGTGTAGAGATAGAGAGATGTCGGGTGTCATATCTCAAGGGGGCAAAATGCTTAATTTTGTCCCCTTGAGATATGACACCTGACAATGTTTACAATAATTAATAATATGAGATTTTGTCATATAAAACTTTTTATAACAATTGGAAAAGTTACACAATTTGTTGCTAGATTTTTTATTGGTTTCATTTTATAACTTTGTAATTCTTCAATGTTAAAAAGAAATTAGTGATGATAATTCCAATTTTTGAAATTCAATCATTTATAAATTCAGAATATCAATGCAATAGACATAAGTATTTTGAACAGGAAATATAACTTTGTAAGTTGTGTGATTTTAGAGATCTTTGAATCATCTTGTACATATATAAATTATTTATATAAATAATCAAAATAATATTATGATATAATTTTATACAGCTAGAAGAATTAAAAGATAAAACAAAATTGGCTATAGAAGAAAGAAAACAATTAGAAGAAAAATTATCACGTGTCAGTAAAGAAAAGCAATCTCAAGAAAAGAAGATATCTCAAGTATAAATTATTTTAATACTGAATTTACTTCAGTTTGAAAGGATACAACAAAAGTATTGTTTTCTTTTTATTAGTTATGTCAAAAATTGAATAAAGCTGTTTTAGAACTAAAAGAGGAAAAAGAAGTAAGTTTTAGTATATTTAATCTAGACAAACTTTTGCTCTAATATTGTATATTTTAAAGAATCTTTATTACATAGATGAATAAATGTTTACGTCAGAATCAACAATCTTGGCAGCAGAGATTGAAAGAAACAGAAAAACAAATTAAGGATATTCAAGAATCTAAAGAGAAGGTAATATTTTAACTGTCTTGAAAGAAAGTTTATAAAAATCCAAATACAACTAAAAAGAAGAGCAGTATTAACACTAAGTTAGAGAAGTTAGTTAACTGGACTTAAACGTTTTTTGAGGTCCAGAAGTCTCACTATCAGATCAGATATCCATTTAAAAAATAATGAACATAAAAAGTGTTCTTTGATCCAATATGTTTACTATTTAAAATCAAATTTTATATGTATAATTTAATTCCTATTTTTTCAAAATTTTTTAAACAGAAAATACAAAACAGTCTATAACTGTTTTGATAAATTAACAGGAGTTAATATAGACTAGTTTCTTAGATCAGTGTTCTTCAACCTTGGGTCCGTGGACTGGCGCTGGTCCATGAAAAATTCCATAAGACTAATGTCACACTAACTAAAAATTGTAATTTTAAAACAATCTTTATAAACAAAATATTATCTACAATAGTTTTTATTTCTGTCTTAAGGTCATAGGATTTTTTTGCCGTAATTACTGTGTTTTTTAGCCTAAAAACTGATTATCATCATTTGTTTGAATTCCTATTAAAAAAAAGAATCATACATATATACCAACCTCAGTTTTAACCTAATTTAAGTCAACTTAAAGTATAGAAAACAAATAGTGGAGTAGGACTTATTATACTAGTGTAGTTTCTGATTAGTAGAGAGAGAGGAAACTACACCAGTATAATAAGTCCTATTTATAAACAAGATCCAAGTAGACAATGTTTTACTTTTTGTTTTTATATTAAGAACAGAGAATTAAAATAGTGGAAGTTTAGGACAATGTTATTTACCCAAATTTTGTGAAATATCACAGATAATGTAATGTAATTAAACATTGTTAAAATATACAAGGATAAAATAATAATTAATGTGAGCGATGCATGCACATTAATGAGTGATTGTGATTGGACTGCTTCCTGTAGCAGTGCAGCTGTCTGCAGTCCACAAAATTATAATCCTGTTTTTTGCCAGTATGCAGATACAAAAAAGATTGAAGAACACTGTCTTAGATCATATATTAAAGAGAGTAATCTTGCTATGAATAGTATGTCTAGCCTTAAAGTGAACTCCAATTATATGTGACCTAATCAAAAATGAAAAGATCAAGTAAAAACTAAATTAGCAGAATTTACAAGGTTCTTGTTAATTTTGGCCAAGTTCTATATATAGAACTTGTGGAGGTGTGGTACATCTCTTTAGTGAAAAGATAAAGAAATATAGGGTGACCTTCAAGAAATAACTGACACTGGCAAGAGAATTGTTCACAAAGCTAAAGATATATCAGGTATCATGGTTTCTGCACATTCCTATTTATCTAACAAGTCTGAAGATTGTGGAGTAAGTGATACAAAAGCACAGAACTAGACTTATGGGTATGGGTTTTAAGACTATGAACTTTTAGTACCAAAATCCAAATTTTGAACAAAGGCAGTGTAGTTTAAAATTTCTTTAGTGTTTGAGATTTTCTGCATGTACTTTTCCTTTTTATTTATTTTATTTTCATTTCATTTATTAATTTTTTTTCAAAAAATTTAGTAAAATTCTAAATACAGGTTTTATTTTTTAGAAAATGCTTTTTTTAATATTTAATATAAACTAATTTGAACAAAGTGGACATTTGATCTGAAAATTATATATTTGGATCTTCAAATACATTTCATTCCTGTTAATTGATGACTTCTCTAGATTATTTAGTGTTCTTTTCATCTTATTACACCATATTTGTCATTAGTTTTATTAGTTGATGACATCTGAAATTTTAAGAAACATGCACTAAATATGGCCAAAACCGCTGATTAATTCTGAAGTCAAGATTAACTAACAATTCTATATCTAATTTTCAACCATTCCTGATATCCAAGATTATTTTTGTATAACATCATATGCAAAAATTCAAATTTAGCAATAGCAGTTGCAATGACATCATTAAGTAATTTGTCATTTGCATTATTAATATCCTTAGGAAGGACTTTAAAAAATTGGTATTATTTGTTTCTGATGATGATATATAGACAATATCTATTACCTTGATTTCTATTCTGTGATTGATTTGCTTTTCCACATATTATTTTATATTTTGGAGGAATATCAAAGCATTATTCTCTGGAGTTTTTTCAGCTATTGTAGATTATTGACACAAATGAAAGTGTAGTGAAGTAGACCAAATATTAGGATTATGTAACAGGATCTGTTGCTATTGTAGATAAAAAATTTTTAAAAATTTACAGGATAAGTTATTTTTTGAAAATATTATTAAATTTAATAACTATTAACATTCAAAAGAGAAAATTTGCATATGAATAGAAGGAAAGCTGAACATAAGAAAACTGTAATGTCATAAGGAAAAAGAAAACTTATCTCATTCCTGTAAATTAGTCAATGAAATTGTACAGGATGTTTCAATGGGTACTGATAACTTTATATATTATTAGAAGTAAAATACATTTCCTTTTACCTATTTGTAATGGTAATGTAATCAGTGAATAACATGTTCAAATGCAGGTTATTCCAGAAGTGTTTCCATTAACTATCCAGAACTGTGTAGTGGTAGTGGTAAGCCTGCACATTGAACACATTATTCACTGACTTCCTTTTTGTCCACTTGTAATGGTAATGTATTTTATTTCTACTAACATATAGTTATTGCAACTCATTTAAACACTATACAGGTTGATAGAAGTAACAACAACAAAATTATATATTGAAGTTTAAATTACAAGTATTACCAGGAAAAAGCATAGAAATGTTTGATATTCAGGATAAATAAATCAAGATAATTGAGATAAAGAATTTAAATATTGTTTAAGATGATATCCAAAATTTGAATAATGATGCAGAGTCATACTGAGTTCTTTTGTATGATTATTAGAAGTGGAATTTGCCACCTAGGTTTAAATTCTGTTTTAGATGGTTGAGTTTTATATACCTCACTATTTATCCATTTTAGTGCTTCCAGAAAAGTAAAGCAAGCTGAGTTGTAAATAGTTAAAAATAGTCTTATTAACTATTTAGAAGTATGACAATCAAATACTATGAAGGAATTTAAATCCATATATTTTCTGTTTGCATTTGTTTATGAAATAAAGTAAGAAATAATGCATGTTACAAAAAACTGAATTCTGTGACAAAGATATTGTCAAAAAGAAGTTAACTCAGTGGTTAGAAAAATATACTACTACAGAAATTTAAGTTAACAAATTAGCAGGTAATTATGTATGTATTAGTGTCTGTTATTATTTCCAGTGAAAAATGAAATAAGCAAACAGCTCATATGAATTTTTCTCAAAGATGCAACTTAATTTAACCATTCTTATTAACTAAGTTATAAAATTCCTGCATTATTGGTAAGAATGCTGGTTTTGATTAAAATAATAATCTTTTCTGAACTCTCTTTCAGAATATCTCATTCTAGTTGCCAATTTCTTCATAGCTGAATGATAGAGAATTCTTATTTTTAAAGCATTAATGTATACTTGTTACAGGAGATTCAAGAATTACAGCACCAGGTACGTGATTTGATGTTCTACCTGGAAGCCCGCGACACCTTGCAGAATATGCCTGAATCAACAAGACAAGAAATACAAGATGGCCAAATAGTTGTTGGTGCATCTGCCGGACCAGTCACACCTCGCCATCGGAGCAAAAAGAAGCGTTAATGTGAATTTGAATCCTTCATACAATTACTACTCGGAACAGTATATAAAATAATATGCACAATGTAAAATGTATATAGAGATCAAATATATATAAGTGTATGATCTTGTGTGAAAACTGCAATATTTAAATAAGAACAATAATGACATGAAAAAAATTTTATAAAAGAGTGTGCAATCTGGAAATTCACCTATTCTTAAATTCTGTTGCTATGAACATGTTTGTGTGTTAAGTTTTGTTTAAATAAAATTTATTAATACAAAAAAATACATTACTTTCTCTTTCTCTTGTTAAATAAAGCATTTTGTTTAATCGACGATACCAAATTCTCTGTCTCCCTGGATAAGTTTGATTTAGCCGGAATCTTAGTTTCTTTATCTTCAACATATTTTTCCCTACGCCTTTTTCTTTCTTCCAAAATTGCCTTCATTCCTTCAGTTTCTCTAAAATGGGGATTGGCTGGTTCAATGTTATAAAAGTGAGAAGTGTACAGAGCAGAAAATCTTTGATCATTCACATCAACCTAAAAATAGGTATAAGTTATTTGCAGATCTCTGAAAACTATTACTATACAGTACATTAAAATAGAAACTTTACTACATCAATGTTAACACACACAATGATTTGAAGTATATATGTTCTGAAATTGTGATTCTAACAAATATTATTTTGTCAAATATGTTTATGTAAATCTGAAGAAAAATTCCTATTAGTAAAAATTTCAATGTGGTAACAGCATTAAATATTCATTTATCAATTAGAATTGGTTTATATTTTTAAAAATAACCACTGGAATCTTTGACTACTCTTAATCATAATCAATCTTACTTTTATTGCCAATTATTTTTAGTGTGTAATAAAATTTAAAATATCATTACTTCATTGGTTCTCCTTATGCAGAATTAAGTTAAGAGTACTGTATTTGATGGCATATAAAACTTTGCAGAACGAAAGATATCCTAATTTTATAATGATAAATTTAAGAAACAAACTTTCAAAAAATTACTGCCAATACAATGGACTCATGTTTCTAAGCACTGTTATCCAACTACATAAGTTTCTTCCAAATTTGGTCATTTAGATTGATAAAAACAAAGTAAAAACCTTTGTAAAATTCTGCTTCTCTTAATGAAACTTCCCACCTGCAAATCATCTTAGTAGGTGGAGATTCAGAACTTCATATTTCTGTGTAATTTCGCATATTGTATTAGTTTTAGCATAATTCTACCTTTTTAATCAAATAATAACATCACTACACCCGATGAGAATATCATAAATCACCAAATGATCACCTAAATATTGGGCTATAATATGGCTAATTAAATGATTGGTATAAAGTAATTTGTCGCTAGGGGTAGACGTTAGGCACCATCTCTTAAGTAAATTAATAATTATAAAGAGATGGCGCCTAATGTCTACCTCTAGCGACAAATTACTTTATACCAATTATTTAATTAGCCATATTATAGCCCAATATTTAGGTGATTGTTTGGTGCCTTTTTAATCTTTTAACTAGATTTTATCACTTGCCAACCTCTCAGTTCAGCATATGTCACTACATGCTGAACTGAGCTGGTGTATTGTCATTTTTGACTTCTAAGACAGGGTATTCATAAGCCAACAAGTACAGTACAACAGAATAATACCAATGTAAAAGCACTTAAAACCTTTGTTTGCATTACTTTCAAAAATAATTGTTTACATTAAGTGCAAACTTATTTGAAACAGATTATAACAACATTATTTACCTGAAAATTTTCTAGTTCTTTTGTATTCCCTAATTTTTGTCCTTTCTTTTTCTTTAACTTTTTCTTCTTCTTATTTTTTGTTTTTATTGATTCTTCATTCTCCACTACATCTCTGTCAGCAGTTAATAGTTTCAACTACAAAAGGTTTTAAAGTTAAAGGCTATACAACTTTGAAATTTTTTAAAAGTAATTGATTTACCATTTCTGTTTCTTTGTCATCTGTCTCTCTGCCATCAGACAAACCTAATTTTTTTATATTATAAAAAATAATAATATATTAAAAATTCAATAAAATCACAAGAAATTGTAAAAAGCCGGTTATATATTAAATTAAAATAATGATCTGAATAACTATACAGTTTCCCACAAACAAAACTTCAACTTCTTTCAGCCTTTTTTTGCAGGCTTCTAGAGAAGAAGTGAGAAGAAAAGAGTACATAGCTGCTTCCATAAAATACACAATTTATAAATTTTCAAATAAAATTACAATTTTTTTTGTAGTTTTATTCAATATTCCAACCTATAAAGAAACTTTACTTGTTTGAAAAGTCTATTGTAATTTAAACCTGTTTATTCAGATTGTTATTTTTATGATATTAAGAATTTTTTTTTATAAGTAATGTTACTTTAAAAATAATAAAAAGCTAACCTTCTCTATTAAAATTATTTCCATCTTCAACATTGCTATCTTCTGAATTATCAGAATCCTAAAAAAATAAAATAATAATTTATATAATTTTAGAAATCATACACAAATTAGACATTACTATATTATACCATTTGAAAGACATAAAATTCAAAATACATAATTTTTGATAATGTAATATGTAGAATACATCCAATCATATTCTATTATTTTCAAAAACAGGATATGATTACACATTTTGTACAACATGCTGGCATTTTCAAAGTGTACAAATGAGTATGCAGTGGGTTATATTCCAATGATAAAAACAAATTGAAGTTTACATGACAAAAATACTTATGACAATTTAAAAATAATCTATACCCAGGGTGGCCAAGCTCCTTGATAGTCCGAGCCATTTTTCAAAATTTGAAATTTTTCGCGAGCCGCAATTAAATACGTATTAAAAAGGTATGCAAAAAATTCCAGATTACAAATTATATCCGTAGCAAGAGTGATACAAATTGTTTCCTCCAGAGCACAATGTCAACTGTCCGTTGCAATGACAGTTTACAAATTCAAAATCGGTCTGGAGTCGGTCGATAACGGACGATTACGCCACTGTTTATGTTCGTTCGCGCAGTTTTCGATGAGTCATATCATTCTTAACTTGGACAGAAATGAAATTTGTTACAACGTTGCACTTAGTCTTTCATATTTGTTGTTAGCAATTTAAAAGACATTTTGAAACACATAAGGAACGATAATAATTTTTTAAAATATAATAACACAAAAATGAAAAGGGAACTCAGGTACATCTATTGAGAGCCACAAATAATCCTTCAAAGAGCCGCATGTGGCTCGCGAGCCACAGGTTGGCCACCCCTGATCTATACAATAATAATCTATATAATAATGCAATTACATTTAAGGTAACTTTGTAGAAAACTTTAGTCCCCACTAAAATCTACTCTATTTATACTTATAGAAAGACTAGCAAACTGAAAAGAAATTAAATTCTCATTCATAATGATGATACTCTCTTATATACTGTATTTATTATATGCCAAAATCTCAGAAATTTGGAAAGGGCTTTTGCATGTCTTTCTCAGCACTCAAACAGGAGATTAAGAGACTAGAAAGGTAGTCCAGTAACTGAATTATACTATAATACAAAATTTTCCATTTTTAAAAAAGAATATTTAGTTTAAAAGATTATGTACGGTACCATTTGTTATGAAATTTTATTTAAAAATAATTATGAAATTTTTAATTATTTACAAAAAGGCAAAAAGCCTTATTTTTGATGGGGGAATTGTTTCTAAATCAATTGTAAATGCTAATAACACGTAAAATTTTCAATTAAGTCAGACTCTACTCAAGATAAGACACATGGTCACTCTATCTCTCCACCATCAAAATTTAATAACATCAATGCCCCATGCATAGAAATAACCACACGAAGTTTCAAAATTTTTGATTCATCCAATCTTGAGATATAATAAAATCTGCCTATTTTTCCTCCAAAATTATTTATTAAAATACATTTAATCAATTTGTATCATTATGATAATCAACAATTGTGACTTTCAGTTTTGGCTGTATCTTTATAAGCTTTAATAGCAAATACTATATAGCAATGTTTTATTAATTTTGTTTTCACACATTTTTACACATTTAATAATGTTATAAAATTAATTTCATCTAATTTTGTAGCATTATTAAAGGTATAAAAATGATTTTAAATGAAAATGATTGCAATTTAATAACAATATGGATTAAGAAACTGCAAAATGCATTTTGATATAAAATTAGTCACTAATAATTGTTTTAGAAACATGTCAAAATAATTCAAAAATCTAAACATTTTAAGCTTTTTGATTTATATGTCAAAAATTAAAACTATTTTACATATAATGAATACTGCATATTACAGAAAAAGTTTACTGAAACTGATAGTTCAGCTATTTTCATGACAGATATTAATACTAAAAAAATATTAAATAGTAAATTTTAAATGATTATTTAATTATTTTAATTTGTCTAAATTCTTCAATTTTATTAGTGTGTGTTAATTTCAAGAAAATATAATTCAATTTAAAAAAGAAACCCACACTTTTTTCTACTTATTTTTTTTTACCTTTTGAGTATATATTAATATATAAATTTTTTAAATAATTCAATCTAATTTGAAAAGAGAACTACAAGCAAAAGAAATCATAAAGTAAATGAGCAATAATTATATATAATAATTTTTAAATATGAAGATAACTTTACTTGATTTGATACTGATAATTCTTCCTTTTGTTTTTTCTTTTTCTTTTCTTTTCGTTTCTGTAAATATTGCTCCCAAGGAGTCATTTCTTCAGTTTTTTGCTTTGCTTTAACTAATTCCTTAGCACTTTTTTGTAGACCTAGAATAATTTTATAAATTACAGTAATCAATCTATTAATTTCAAATCTATAAAATAAATTCTATTTTAACTAATTGGTTTCATTATTTGATATAAGAATCATTTCGTTCACATAAGGAGGAAAATAACATTTAAAGAAAATAAATGATAAAAACAATAATTAATTAGGCTGAAAACTACCATCATGCAGAAAAACTAATATAAGCTTTTATTATGGAATTATCATCAAGCAGCACATTTGATTGATAACAATGGTATTATTTACAGGTAAATATGATGTAGACAATTAAATATCTGATAATGCATTTCATTTACGGAAGATTGTTTTTTCTTTTCATATGCTCCACTTTCAAAATGAAAGTTAGTTATCCATGAGTAATGTCATCATGTGATTTAAACACTTTGGCACTGTGTATGCACAGTAAAAAAATGAGTGTCTAACTCACATGGTTACATGTGATTTAGACACTCAAGCTGGATGTACTATCATGCACATCAGATGCAGCTGATCAATACTAAATAATCATCATCAGATAGTTTGACATCATTTTCTACAAAACGGCTTGATGGATGAACACAGCAGCTGAAACATAATAGAAGTTCCCAATTTTTCTGAAATTGTTGATTAAAGGAATTTAGAAAGTACAGTGTGTCACACTTAAAATTGGCCAAACATCAGTGATGTAAATTTTGCAGGGAATATTTAAAAAGAAAAGTATATGAGACCAATCCCCAAACTATAAGCAAACTGAAGGAAAGCACTCACAAAAACACTGAAGCTATCAACATCAGTAATTTATTTAAGATCAGTCTGAACATGAGTACTGTGAACCTTTGTGTATGAGATTGTTTGTATACAAAAGTGAATAGATGCACAAGGACATCATTTTCAGCATCTTTTGTAAGTTTCTATATATGTTTTCAGCATCCATCTTTGATTTATTCTCGTTTCTTTCTGTCAATTAGCATACAAATAAAACATAGTGGATATCAATGATGTGAGTCACATGGAAGTCACATGATTATGTGCTGGCTTGACATGATAAAATTGCTCAAGTCACACAGCTCAAAAGTTTTCAAAATCATCTTAATACATCATTATAAAGATAATGATAACTGCAAGAAGAGAAAAGTTTAAGTAGTTTAACAGTATGCTGGAATTCAAATTATTTATCAATGCAAATGAAGACATGAGAAAATATCAGCATAAAAAATTTTTCACTATATTGGAGTATCATGCAGATGTAATTTGAGAAACTGATTTTATAAATTCATCAACAATTTTATTATCATGACTATCAAAACAAAATGTTTTTCAACAAGCATATTCAAAAATTAAACATTATATCTTACCAGGTTCCCAAGTGATTTCCAATTCCATGTCTTTATCTTCTTTATCTCCTTCATTTCCCAAATTTTGCAGAAGTTCTTTATACTTTTCAACTCTAGTCTTTTTTGAAGAGTTTTCATTTATTTCATCAATTTTTGAAATGTTTTCTTCAATAGCTGATTAGTGCCAAATAAAAAAATATAATTTAATATTAGTTTTAATTTAAATTTGAAGGATAGAGATACAATTTTGTTGAAAAACACATTTTCACCTTCATCTTCATCGGATGAGGAAGATGAGGAAGATGATGAAGCTAGAAAGGCAGATAAATCAACATTCTGTGAATCTGCTTCTTTTCCTTTTTCAAATGCACTTCGCATGGCTCGAAGACGTTGGGGATCAGTTTCATCCCACGTCAATCGTACTTGTATTTGTTGTAATGCGGTTGTTGTGAATAGAGATGGTTTGTAATTAGACATGTCAGGGAGTGATGTTGCCATACTTGATGGTTCCTATCAAATAATGAATATTAAGACATTAAAATGAATAAAATAAATACTATTGAATTTTAGATTAGTAATTTGTTACCTGTTCAAAAGTCATGTCGTCCGGTACAAATCGTAAATCTAAAGTGACTGCACTACTTTCATACTCCATCCCATCCAATTCTTTATAAATCACAGAAGCTGTTGCAGGTGTATCACAATCTACAATAGCAAAGTAATACTTTAACCGACTAATCTGATATTGTCTCAGTTTCTCCCTGTGATACGCTGCACCCTCTTCTGTCACTGTTTCATCCTCTTCATCACTCTGCAAGACTTTTTCTACCAATTCTTTTGGGCCATTTATCTCTTCCTCCTTCATTCTTTGCATTCCATATTCAGATGGATAAATCTAATATATAATATAAATAGCTTATTTTTTTATTCACAAAAATGCTACAGAATACAGAATATTCAAATTATGTTTATTGTTATTGGAGATAAATTGTTATACAAATTTAAAAGTTATCAAATAAACATTAAATAACAAAACTATATTCTTATAATTCAAAAAATTTATACTATTAAATCTTAATGTTCTTAACCATTTGATATCATATTCATTTGGTAGAGCAAGATTTGAATTCAAGAACCATATACAAACTTCTGATGCAAACCGGAAGTCAAATTATTTCAATTCAAAAATTTTTCCCTGAAAGCAGTTAATAGATTATTGGCACAACTCTATTGTTAAAGGAAGAGTATGATGTACAGGGGCAACACACTACTAATTTGAGATGGAGAGAATATATTTTAAATTAAATAAATTAAAAATTGCAGCCCGGCATTAGTGACAATGTCATAATAAATAATTGCTCATAATATATTTAATTTTAAACAAACACATTTATTATCATTCATATATTCTTTTCCAAATGAATTGTTCAAATTATATAGAACCTTGATTATCTGTGGTTCTGTATTATCTGAGGGAAATCTATAAGTGAATATACTAATTTTCTTACACTGTAATTAATAAAAGAAAGTTTAAAATGATAATATAAATTACAAAATGATTTGTTTGTTACTATTTATCATTTAATCTCAATGTGAGACAAACCATTTATACTACAACATAACCAGAATAACACATATTTTTATGCTTAAAACTACCGTATGTACAGTATTAGCTGTATAAATAAATGGTATAAAAATTGTTGTTCTTTAACTGTTGTTCTTATGGTATAAAATTGTTGTTCTTTACACAGATCACCCATACACCCCTTTTAAAAAGTCCAAAAAATTTTAATAAGTAAATCAGATACATTGTATTGAATACTTTCAATTTCTGGTACTGACCAGAAAGGTCTATCAATCCAGATCAAAAGTTGAATTTTTTAAACAGACATGTTATTTTTTAATTTACATTTGAATTAAACTCAAAAAATAAAACAATTCTGTCTCAAACATTTTTTCTGAAACCACCTCCATTTTTCATAAAATGACCTTGAAAGTGTGATGCATGAAAAAAAATAATACTGTAAAATACATGTCTGAAATGTAAAGATGCAATGGCTAGTATTCATTCAAAACATTTTTATTTGACCAAATTTTCCACTACATCTTATTTACTGGTACATTATTTTTCTGCATAACTGTCTCCATTGTCCAAACAGTTAAGTCTGGGTACTAGCTTTTGTATCCCAGTACTAGCTTTTGTATCACAGAGTCCTAGAATTCTACCACTTGCTGCCAGAACCACATTTCAATTTCATGTTTGATCTCATCATCATCATGAAAGTATTGTCCTGCAGGATAAAGAAACAAGTGTAGTCACTGGAAGCAAGGTATGGTCTGTATGGTAGATGGTCAAAAACTTTCCATATGAATCATTCGAGAAACATTTTGGCGACAATCGCTATGTGAGCCTGAGTGTTCTCATGATGCAGGTGGACACAGTTGTCAACATTCCCCTCCGTTTGTTTTGAATGGCATTGCAAGATTTAGCAATATGCAGCAGCATTAATAGTGGTGCTAAGAGGGATGAATTAAATCAGAAGAATGCCTTTTCTGTTCCAGAAAACAGAAGCCATGATTTTTTTGCTGAAATTGAAGTTTTGAATTTATTGGATTTTAGGGAATGCATTTGGCACCATTGCAGTGATTATGGCTTGGATTCAAGACTATGGTGATAAATCCAGGTTTTATCACCCATCACAATGTGGTTGAGAAACTCACCTGTGTATGCATAGCATGTGATAAAGATGAATACAAAGGCCATCCATTTCATTTTATGTTTATTCTTTAACATTTTGGGTACCCAGCATGCACAAAATTTCCTGGACTCTAATGTTACAGACACAGCTTCATGAAGCATGGACTTAGGCATTTCCAGAATGATTTCTTGCAATTCTCTTATTGTGAGATGCTGATCTGCATAAATTGCTTCCTCAGTTCTTTGAAGAAGTTCATTACATATCACAGACAGCCTACCACTAATATGTTTGTCACGAATATTGCATGGCACTAATTTCTTACATTTTGTCGATTCATAATGATTCCATAAATAGAAACGATTTGTTTGTGAATATCCACTTGGCACTTTCACCTTTTGCATTGAGAAAACATACAACAGAGTGTACTTCATATTTGGGGATATTCTGAATTGGCATGGTCATTGTAAACACATTCTACCCAAACCAGACTCACATAGCAATGACAAATGACTGCAAAAAGAGTGCAAAAGGTTCAAATCAAATCAACTATTGTCAATGTATGCATTAAAACATTAGCTTCCTGCTTATACACAATGTATTTTCACTTTTTGGACATGCCACATATATAACATGCCAGGATTAAAGTACAGTAAGATCCTGCTTAACACTGTCTCACTTAATGCAGATTCGATATAACGCGGTCTGCTCGAAGCCTAAAAAAAGCCCAAAATTTATGCTGATTTAAATTATCATGGCTCGTATATAATTTCTCGATTCATATATAATATGATTATTTACAAACACAAACCAATCAACAAAAAATGGCAAAAAGGTGTGCTTTCTTTAAATCTATGTTCGTTTGGTGCAATTTTGGAAAAAATATAACATCATGAATGCCATAGGAAATATCGGCTTCGCTTGGCAAGAATTAACTGATAAATGCATGAACGAAGTGTGGAAGACGTTATAGCTGAAGGTATCCAATAATTCTCGATGAGAAGAGCCTATTGCTGTATCGTTAGGTTGACCAAACTCAACCTAATCGATATAGCAGGACTAGGAGATATAGAAGAGCAGGATATTGAGGAGTTACAGCAGGTTTCTGGTGAGAGCTTTACCAACAACGACTTTCAAGAACTGGCAGAACATGGAATTCATGTGGAACTGGAAAATAGAAATTCTGAAAACGAAGAACCCAAAAAATTTCTCTACAGATTTCTTTAGTAAAAGTTTGGTAAGATAACCGAAATCGTTGATGAAATTGTAGCAAATGATCCAGATTTTGAAAGGAGTGCAAAAGCAAAACAAAGCGTTTTGGATGTGATCTTCTGCTACCGACATTTGCTTAAGGAAAGAAAAAAGCAACAAATGAAACTTCCCGATTTTATTGCAAAAGAACAAGAATTTCAGAAAAGTCAGGACTTTCGTCATAAAAAATAAACTTTATATTTCTGTGTGCATATGTTTGTGTTTTATAACATATATTATTATACAAATTAATATAAAAATAACTTAAAATTAAAGTAAAATTTGTTTATTTTTGGTTGCGTGTTCCCCTATCCCTATTTACTCTGTTAAAATTGCCTCATTTAATGCTGTTTCGATTAGCACTTTGTTGTCTAGGAACGCATCCCGCGTTAAGCAGGGTCTTACTGTGTAAGTGGCTGAGAACAATGGAAGGATGTAAACACTAAGTCGCCCCCAGTTGACACCATGAGTGACCAATATGGTTATATCTAAATTAGTTAATAATTGAGGTAGAACATTAGCAAAATTTCTTCTAGATGGCTTACAGAATTGTATTTGTTCTCAAAAATTAATCAGTCAATTTTGATAAACATTTTCCATTGATTGCAATGAGGAATCAAAAAATGTAATAAAAAATGAGGTTCCATGACTTCATTTTTAAGATAAGTGGAGTCAGAGAGACAATGTCCTTGCTCTCTGATATGATTGAGTGTGCCAAATGAAAATTAGGGGGGGCATAAATGAAAAAACAGCATTGTACTAACAGAAAATAGGTACAAAGAATGAACAAAACAATTAATAGCAATTGCTTTGTTCTTGCCTCTCTGTTAACAAGTACAAAGATCATCTCTCTATCTGGCCAGTGTAAGGATAGCCTCTTCTATGGTGGCAAATGCAATGATTGTCTCTCTTTTTGGCTCTGCCGTAATTCTATTATGATATGACAAAGTAGCACAATGTCCCTAGTTAATTAAGGTTATCAAATATGAGAAATTCTCTCTCAAAAGAGCTAGTATTACAAATACTACAATAATAGTATACCCTACAATAATAGATCAGACAGCAAGATGTGATGGCATAAGGTAAAGAATACATCCTTTAATAGGCAGAGGATCCCCACATGCTGCAATTACACTAGCAACCCTTCTGGGCATACTTTCAACAAGGTTTTGATACACAGCTAAAGGCATTTGTGTCCATTCCTGCTTCAAGAATGTCGCCAGCTCAGCTGAGATTTCAGATGTGTTTTCCTGATCCATAAGCGTTGCTCTAACTCGTTCCACAAATGTTCTATTGGGTTTAGGTCAGGACTCTGAGCAAGCCAGGAAAGACGGTTGACATCCATATCTTGATACCACTACTTGACACAGGCTGCAACACAACATGGAGCATTGTAGTCCTGGAAGTAACATTCATCCATTCCATAAAATTGCCACTTAGGTAACAGACATTTGCCTGGCATTCTCAAACCCAAACATAGCCATCTGACTGAAAGAGCGTGTAGCATGACTCATTACTCCATAATACAGTTTTCCAATAGTCAACAGACCAGTTGCGACATTGCAAGCACCAAGTGAGTCTGCTAGCTCTGTTGGATGGGGTGATGTTTGGTTTGTGTGCGGCAACACATTCGTGGATATTGAGGGCGTGCAGTTCTTCCTGCAAAGTATTGGGGTGCACCGTAACCCCTGCTGCCTGTTGAAACTCACTGTTGATGATTTAGAGTGGTTTCTTGCTCTACAAACCTCATGCTTCAGGACACACTGATCTCATTTGGTCAGTTTACGTGGAAAACCAATGTGTACAGTTTGTGTCCTAACTCCTGTAGTCTTCCACTTCTTCACATCATCACCAACAGTTGACCATGGCTGTGATAATTCTACCGCAATTGCACGAATAGACTTGCCACTAATGTGACAACCAACTATAACATCTTTTTCAAAGTCACTAAGTTCCTTTCGTTTCGACATATTTTCAGAATTTCACACAGAACTAACAATGTTACCACTTTGCTTATCATATTAAACGTTATCAGATCACATGGGAGCACTGGATTTGGATAAAATCTGACATGCAGTCAGATTTTATGCAAATCCACCGGTGTTCGGTCCATTATTGTAGGGTAGTGTATATGCCTTGCCAGGGTATGCGATGGCTGACTGAGTGCCTTGAGTGAATGTTTCTGGCCGAGGGTGCAAGTGTGTCCCCAATTGGCACTGTATTAACCATTCATGGTTATACATTGGGCTTATACATACTGGAAGAACTGGAAGAGGAGATCAGACCAAAGGTCCAGGCAGTGTAACTGGCAATGCATCCGCACGGTAAGTGGGAGTTGCGAGTTTGAGTCCCACTTTGGGCCGATTCTTTTCTTCCAGTTTATTCTAAATTAATTGATTAAATATTATAATTATTAATTTTAATGCAAGATGGCACATAACACCTCCCTCTAGTGCCAAATTTATTTGTAATTCATAATTATTATTTCCAAAACATAGCCCGATTATTTACAGCAATTGTGGATGTCTAAGAGCTAATATTATTGAAAACAACAGGCATACAAAAATTCTTGTTTGTGCCAGAAAAAGGATTAAAAGTTATAGAAAAATAGAATTCAAAAAATAATTAAACAGTATTTTAATTAATTATGTACAAATAATTATGGTATACTTAAAACCAATTAAACACATAAACAAGTAATATTATAAATGATAATTAGCTTACTCACTTTTACAGATTGAATAGCTCCATCTGGAGGTTTAAATGAATTCAGAAGTACTAAAATATCTTCTGCTTTTATTCGATCCCAATTCATATTGCAGACAGCAATTCTTTTAGTTGGTTTTTCAATCTCAGGTGCATCATTATGTAATTCTCCCCATTTGTGATCAAATTCATCATCATCAACTAAAAAAAATATTCACCATAAAACAATCCATAGCTATAAATACAAAATAAAAAGAATTTTCTATATAATACAAATAGTTTACCTTCTAAATCACTTTCTTCAGAAGTAGTGCTACCAGATTCTGCTCCTTCAAAAGAAGGAACCTGAATTTGTCTGGATTTATCTAATTCTTCATCAGTTTCTTCAATAGAACAATTAAAATATTAATCTATTATTTTATTATTTAAAATTCATCAATAGAACAACATAACAATCTTATTTTTATTTATTTTTTATAATTAATGCAAAATTTTATGAACAATTTTAAATAATACGATACTGTATAAATACGATAAATAATTTGTGTTTGGATTAAAAATTACTGGCACAGTTTCAAAAATACCAGATCAATACATTTGTTAAAGTATATTAATCAGAAACAAAGTATTTTGTTGAGGTTTAGAAATGTTTTGTTGAGATCATCATTGTGCTCATTTAAATGAAAGTTTCATTTTCTATCAACAAACATAATCTGAAGTGTTTAATAAAAAAATTTATTTATACAATAACTTTATTCACAATAATGTATGTATATACAGTAGTTAAATCATCAATGATTGATCTGTCAATATATAACTCTCAAAGTATATTGGTGTCCAAAATTGAAGCAAGTTTTATACAGGTTGTGTACAAACACAAAACCAGTGTAAAATCAATACCATGAAATTGAAAATATGAAATGATTTACATATAAGCTGAAACTTATATGTAAATCAGCAAAGTGCCATTCAATCACAAGATCAATGGAAATGAGGAACATTAGCAGCACACCCATGTGACAAAATATAATGCACTATATATAAAGTCATTTATGACAATCAATCATCTGCTAGGACTGCTAACAGGGAGAAAGTGTTCCTGATGTAGCTTCTCAGGTATGCTTTAGAAAAGGCATTTGGATGACTCATTATGATGGAGTTCTTCATTTTGTCATGTAATAAAATTCATTTCTGAATTTTGTATAATAGTGTATTGATCAAACTGGGATCATAACATTTCAAAATGAATAACTGTATATCATATTTCATCTAGATAAAAACCCACAATGCTAATAACAGTCTCAGACACTACTTTTCATTACCTATAGTAGATTAGCATTTTAGCTGTAATTATCAAGGACTGAAAATGAAAACCCGAAGCCTGATTTAATACAAGTACTGATTCAAATTATTGACTAATTTGAATCAGTCTAATTGACTAATTTGATGTAACCCATCCATACATTACTGCTTTTAGACAATTTTATATTAATAAATTTTATACAAATAAAATAATTTTCTTCTTATTTGTCCTATCTATATATTTTAAAACAAACATAACTTAATTAACACACTTCCCATTGATCAAATTCAGCAAATGAAGTCTTAAATTAAACATCATGATCCCTAGATGTGCAAAATAATATAAAAAATGTGAACATATTTTGACTTTGTCAAATTACTAACAATTTTTGAAGTGTTATGTGATGTGTTGTTAGAATTTTTTGCATTGTATGATAATTTGAATCTTAAATGTTAATCATCTTAGTATGTATATTTCATTGAAAAATATATAACTTCAAATACATGTGTAACATCTATATTTATAAAAACTTTTACATTTTGTCATGTGACTATTTTTGCACATTTTGACATATATTTTGACATTATTGCAAGATGTTTAAAATGTTGAATGTATTGCATATAATGTTACATGTTTTATATTATATATTAAAATTATTTAATGTTTATTAAAGTTTGAATAACAAACTATTGAATAAACATTGGAAGTTCCAAATATCTATCAGTACATATGTTCTACATTGTTGCGAAAACACAATTTGTATGAAATTAATGTTTTGTTAAATATCTATATTAAATTTGAAGTCAGTAAGTTATTATTTTATTTCCTTTTAACAAGTGATCATCACGTCTAGTAAACATTCAAAAAAAAAAAAAAAAAAGTCATAGTCTATCTTCTATATTAAGTTGTCAACCTGAAATAACTGTAAAGAATTTCAGGCACAGTATATAATTTGTATTGTTTGAGAAACTTCAATCTAATATCACTCTCAATTTAGTGCCAATATTTTACGTAAACGAATGGCAAAACTAAATCAAACTTTGACTATCACATTAAATACATATAACCTCAATTTGTTTTTGTTTCATATATAGTTACGATATATAATGTACTGTATTTGGAGTGATTATGTTAACACCATATTATGCCATAAACATAAAACTGATTATAGTTTCCTATAAGAACTAATTAGTCTAGAACAACACCTATATTTCTTATAGCAGCAACACTAGTTATTCTTATAGGAAATTCAGTAAATTAAGTGTCACAATACAGTTCCAGGATTGATTATAGAAATGTATACTTGATATTTTACAGAGGATGATTCAGAAATACACAAATTTACCTTCTTCATCTGTTTGTACTTTTTCTTTCTCATCTTCGCTGCTACTAGTTAATTCGTAAAACTTCTTCAAATTTTCAGTAGAAGTTTCCTGAATCGATCGTCCTCTCTTATCGACAAATTTCGTTTTGAAATTATCATCTGTAAACATGGATTGAAACCTTTTGTCGATCTGAATCTTCCTGTCTTTTTTCGACACCGGTTTGAACCGCGGATCTTTCCAAATATTAGAAAATCTTTCATCTTTTTCGTTGTCCATTTTGTTTTCTGAAGACATATAGAAGTAAATATTAAGTAATCATTCAAAAACCATTTCTTTAAATAATAATAATAATTGCTCTATTAAAATCAAAGCTATAACATACCTTTAAACTACTTAATTACCAAATTCCAAACATTCATTAAGAATATCGAGATAATTTTCCTTTACGTATCTTAATACTACATATATGGCATCATATTTTTATTAACATTCATTTCAATTAATATTTAAAGTTCGAACAGCACATTCACAAACCACGTGTACTAGCTACCGTATGCTAACAGATTATTTAAAATTATTATAAAAATATCGCCAAAATCAGGCCCAATATAAAAAATATATTTAAAAATAAATAATTATATATATATATATATATATATATAATTATTGTATAAAATATATANTTGTTATATATTTATTTTATTTCTGATTTAATATATGTATAAAATATTATATATATATATAATATTTTATACATATATTAAATCAGAAATAAAATAAATATATAACAAAAGTTTTACACGAAGTACAGACATACAGTATAGCTTTTTGATGACCGTATAGCCGAGCGGTCAAGGTGGCAGCCTACCGCTCTGGGGGGACCCGGAATAGAATCCGGACGGGTCGAAAAATCACCACCCGGCCGGCCCATTGTGGCCTGGCCGAACTCACAATGGGCTTGCTAAAAGAGGCCCTCTTAGTGCCCACAGGGCGGAGAGTTAAAAAAAATAAAACATGTAGCTAGTATCAGCCTACTGCTTTGTAGAATCGGGGATTGAAATTCCCGGAGTTTTTCAGATGGTTTACTCGGATATATTAATCCCGTACTTCATCTGGCCGTCCTATTGTGAGGACCAATTTCCAATAGGCTTGTTAAAGTCTCTTAGTGCCCGCAGGGCTAATATTTATTGTTGTATCGTCACAATGTCGGGCTGCAATTTTTAATCATATTTTTAAGCCACAATTCAAGACCTGACACACGCAAACCTTTCATACGCATGGCGTTTCGAAATTAAATTGAAACTTAATAATTATTCTTACGAATGGAGATGAAGCTGGGATTATATTTCTCTGACAATTGCGTGTAATGCATGAAACTCTGAGCTTTCGAACATATATTTTAAATGAAACAAATTAACGTCACAACAGGTAAATCCGACAGAGCGGAATGCTTCCGGGTCGGACGTAATCCAGAGATGCGTTATTGATCAGATTTGACCATCAGCTAAAGAAGCAATTGCTTGTGGTGTAGTGGTTATCACATCCGCCTAACACGCGGAAGGTCCCAGGTTCGATCCCTAGCAGGCACAAGGTAATTTCTTTTAGTCTTTGGAAAGTTTGGCAGATTTTTTACGTGAATCTCCGCTCGTCATTCCGTAGACGGATCTTTTCAATTTATCAGCAAATTCACCGAAACGCACCTCGCCTTCCTGCAAAACAGTTCCATACTTTCTTAATTAAAGTCGCACGAATTGGTAAGAATTGTGTGACTGTGCCAAGTGCGCCGACACCGAGTCGAAGATTGCTTTCTACGATGATAGCCGAACAGCGAAAAAAGTATAGGCGAATGCCCGGCCGACAGCAAAAAATCAATTTAAAACAGAATTTGTTACGTTCCCCAGGTGAGGCTCGAACTCACAACCCCGGCATAACTCACAAGTACTGCTTATAAGTACCGTGCGCTAACCAATTGCGCCACTGGGGACGTGGTTTCCAAGACACGCTAACAATTACAAGAACAAGCATTTTCAATTGTATCGTTTTTTTTTAAATTGTGTGTGCAGATTATTTGTTTATGGACATAAATTATTATGTGAAACGATTAATTCTACAGCTGAGATGTGGTGAAAGTTATATTTTGACGCATTAGGATAGACCAGTGGTTCCCAATTAGTTTTTCCTGCGTACCACTTCAAGAAAGAGCTCAAACTCGCGTACCCCTTATAGCAGAAATTCATATTAATCCATACTAATATTATAAATTCGAAGATAATGCTGTCTGTCTGTCACCTTTTCACGTCTAAACCGCTGAACAGGTTTTAATAAAATTTGGCACAGAGATAGCTTACATGTTGGAGATGGACATAGGCTACATTTTACTGCGAGAAAATATCTTACTCCCACGAGAAAATTCGATATAATGCGGGCGAAGCTGTGGGTAGACAGCTAGTGATCAAATAAGTTTTTTTTTACATTTATTACCTTTAAAATACAATTCTAATAATAATGAAAATAACATAAGGTTATTTAATTTTAATGCGACAAATGTGCACGATTTTCTTTGCACAACTTTGTTAAATCTGGTTGCTTTTTAGTCAGCTTCAGTCTCGAGTCATCTTCGAGTTGAAGTCGGTGACAATGTTTAGTTATCCTGTTTGTCACGGCCGAAAATCCGCTCTCGCAGAGGTATGTTGTGCAAAATGGTAATAAATATGTTATTGCCGCTTCGCTGACACGATGATAGTGATAATTGTACAATTAACAAAATTTGTATTAATTGTACACGTTTTGTTTCTTGCGTAAGAATTTCATTTAGGTATTGTCACAAATGCATTTTTTAATGAAATTTAGAGAAAATTTTTAGTTATAAATAAATGAATTTGTGCATTCGCCATCATGCTGTAAATTGCCGAATTTTTGATGGTCCCCCCATTATTTTTTTGATTGCTTAATCTCATGCATTTAAATTTTAAATCGACCGATTTTAGATTGCCGCGCGTACCCCTTCACGCAATTTCGCGTACCCCCAGGGGTACGCGTACCACTAATTGGGAACCACTGGGATAGACTAATAATACACACTGAGAGAATTTGCAGTAACTGTTGTTTGCAAACGTATGAAAGTTGGGAACATATGTTCTTTTACTGTATCAAATTTGAAGCAAATAGAAAAAACTGGAAAGATATAACTAATTTATCGCGTTTTTCAAAAACTGATTACTTTTGTGTACTGTATTTTATTTTGTGTTATCCTATGTAATTAATTAGTGAAATTTTACTAATTACAGATTTACATAATATGTATAGATATGATTATTATTGTGTGTTATTGTGTAGTACTAAGCAATTATATTAATTTGTTAAATTGCACTAACTTCAGTTTTTATGTATTGATACTTTAATCCCCTTGTAATAAACTAAGGTTCATACAATAAAGAATTGAATTGAACTGAATATTCTTAAGAAGATTAAGTTTAAATTTAATTTCAAAACGCGATGCGCTTGAAAATTTGGCGTATGTCGGGACTTGAATTGTGCCTTACAGCGCAACAGGTAAATCCAACATGGCGAAATGTTTCCGGGTCGGAACGGTGGACGTATTCCAGATATGCGTCATTAATCAGATTTGACCATCAGCTAGAAAAGCAAGTGCTTGTGGTGTAGCGGTTATCACATCCGCCTAACACGCGGAAGGTCCCAGGTTCGATCCCTGGCAGGCACAAGGTAATTTTTCTACGTATTCGGAAAGTTTCGCGGATTTTTGCACGATTCTCCGTTCCCTTTTACAGTTTTGAGCCAATTTACCGAGACGCATTTCACTTGCTTACAAAAACCTCCGCGCTTTCTTAAAGTCGCTCGAATTGGTAAGAATTGCGTGACATCGAATCGACGATTGCTCGCTATGATGAAGGCCGAACAGCTCAAAAAGTATAGGCGAAAACCGGACGACCATTTCAACTAATCGAGGAATAACGAAATGCAATTAAAAAAAATTGTCACGTTCCCCAGGTGAGGCTCGAACTCAAGTACTGCTTATAGTACCGTGCGCTAACCAATTGCGCCACTGGGAAACGCACTTTTCCAAACACGTTAACAATTACCAACATTTTCGTTTGCGAACGCGAAACGATTCCGAACGACGCTCGCGATAAGCCAACTTGTAATAAGCAGGTTTTCGACGTGGCCGATCATTGGTTTGACGTCTGGACTATACTCCACATGTCAATCACATCAAACTGTGGTTGGCAGAACGGAATTGGGAGGTCCTGCAACATCCTTCGTATAGTCCAAATTTAGCCCCCCGTCGGATTTTCATTTATTCGGACCTTTAAAGAAATTTTTCCGGGAAAACGCTTTGCAGATCGGGGGAAATTGGAAGACGCCGTTCTGGACTACTTCAAGCGACAGTACCGTGAAGCGATGTTCAAACTAGTGTCACGCTGGGATAAATGTCTCAACGTTTAAGGCGATTATGTCGAGTAATAAACAAAAGTATTTAGTTTTTGTGGAATGTATTAAATATTTTCTTTATTTATAAATGTTAGTGATTGTGAATTAACTATATTAACTATAAATGTTTCAAAAACAAAAGTGGCGGTGTTGAAGAAGGGCGGTAGACTATCGCCCAAAGAGAGATGGTATTTTAATAATCAGCCTATATAAGTCGTTTCGAATTACATATACCTGGTAGTATTATTTTCGTGTTCCGGACAGTTTTTACAGGCTAAAAAATTATAGTATCCGTAACGCTAAAATGGCACAGAGTTTTATGTGGCCTATTCTTTCAAAAGCTAAGATTAATTCTGCTCATATTTCTATAAAATTTTTTCACTCAATGATTTCATCCGTAAATCTAACCATAAAAGAATATGCTGTAATTAGAGTAAATGTAAAGAATTTAAAAAGATTGAAAAAGAAAAACTGATTGAAACAGATGATAAACCGAAATCAATGTAGTGATGTAACGAATATTCGGTTACTATTCGGCCGAATAGGTGTATACATGTGCTGATCTTTGTAATTATAAATTGTGAATACATGTGACTAATATTTTCTTTTTTATTTTGTGCATGCTATAAGTTATAAATAAATAGAAACAAACAACACTAACCCGATAACATTAAATCTAAATACCAAAATGACTAATTTACTGTGTTTTTATTTCTTACTCCTGTTTTTAGGATTCGGTATTCGACGAATACCGAATATTTAATCACTATTCGGCCGAATACCTAAAAACAGGAGTAAGAAATAACAAAAACACAGTAAATTAATCATTTTGGTATTTAATGTTATTGGGTTAGTGTTGATTGTTTCTATTTATTTATAACTTATAGCATGCACAAAATAAAAAAGAAAATATTAGTCACATGTATTCACAATTTATAATTACAAAGATCAGCACACGTACACACCTATTCGTTCGAGAATCGTCGCACTTCTGAGGGTCTGACCCTGCCTATCCTTCTTTTTAAGTGCTCGTCTTTGCTCTTCCCTTTCTATTTCCTGTATCGCTCTAGTCCACGTATGCCTATGCGTACATCATAATACGCGCTCACGATACTTTCGATTCGTCACTTTTCCGTCGTAGATTTCCCATTTTACAATACGCGACTCATAGCCTGGTGATAACGGAGAAGAGAGAGAGATAGGACGTCGGTATAAGTCAGAGTTATGATTTCACAAATTCGAGACAGCTTGGTAGCCCGAACGGCCCCAGGCTTTCGCCCGTGCACGCTAAGTGACTTTCATTACAAGCATTTAGCTTTCCGAAGTCTATGACAACAATTGTTTGGCATTGACGGCCGCGAATTTCGCGCCAATAAGCTGCCTCGACTTGTTCGATTATGTTATCAATTCAATTTCATATTTCTTTTCACATTTTCACTTCGCGGTCTTCTCTGTTCTTTTTCCGCTATTTATACGTGTAGGTCATTTCATTGTTATCCACATTTGATATCATTTATCACATACTGCCATGACGCTCGTGTCTGTCCGCTACAACTGTCAAGAATTAACAGAAGCGATTGGCGAAGCGTAGTGACAGAGGACCAATAGAGAGCAGGGTCCTTGCCATAATGCGGTTTGCGCGCCAATTTTCGTAATGAGTTAATCAAGCCGAATAGTTTGGCCGAATATACTATTCGTTGCAACACTAGAAATCATATAATTCGTTACGTGCCAGATGATTTCTTCGACGTGCCATATGTTCGCCACCTCTGCCCTAGGCCATCACTGACGTGCAATTAACTGATTGCCCTGAAGTCAGCTATCATCAAATGTCATGGCACGCCACTAATCAAATTTGTAACATTTCTTTATTTTAATAACATATATCAATAATTAAAAAAATATTACGGTATCATCTGTTCACATAAGTTTGTTTTTAAAATTAAAAAAAATATTACGGTATCATCTGTTCACATAAGTTTGTTTTTAAAATTAAAAAAAATATTACGGTATCATCTGTTCACATAAGTTTGTTTTTAAAATTAAAAAAAATATTATGGTATCATCTGTTCACATAAGTTTGTTTTTAGAAAACTGAAAGCTCTGAAGCAGGGATTTAAAAATATATCACAGTTATCGATATCAATTAAGTACTGTATATACATTTGGCACACTTTTCATAATACATTATTTTCTGTATTAAATGAGTTTTATACATTTTTAAAAACAAATAAAATGAATTAATATATTGAAAACATTAAACAGTAATAAATTAACAAAACAAGTTTTTCTAATTACATGTTAATAAAATATACAGTAATTCAACAATCAAAGAGTAAATTGGAAAATAACTTTTCAGTTTACATTATTCACAATCCTTTAAATTTTACTCATTTCTTAAAAAGTTTTTGGAATTTGGAAGAACAAGACATCTAAATTCATTCCATCTTTTTTCATATAAAAGTTTGACAGTCTCCCACACAGAATCAAATGTTATTGCACATGGAATATTTTCAGGTTTAATACCAATCCATGCAAGTGATATTTTCCAATAATCTATTAATTCCTCTTCACTTTTTATTGCAATAAAATTTATGTTTTTAGTATGCACAGCATGTAAATTTTTCACTTGTTTTTGATTCATGTATACAACATCCACTATAATTTGCATGATATCATCATCTACTTGGACATATCCAACAGTTTCAGTCACAGCACACATTCTTCCACTGTTGATAAAAACAGTAGCCAGTCTGTGATTTTGACACCTTTTAAAATCACTGTTGCAATTTAATTTTCCCAATGTTTCTAAATCCTCACCATCATTTTGGTATTCTTTCTCATTTTCTTTGGTATTTCTCTTTTCTTCTAGACATTCACTAGATGTTTCAATTTCTGTCAATAATAAATAAATATAATTTTTATGTATAAAAAACAGAAACAAAAAAACTAAAACTTCATTAGAAAAGATAATATTAAAATCAATAAAGTATTTATTTAAATCATCTTTACAAAGAAATATGTTGAATATAAAAAGTAAATCAATGTAATATGTAGTAGAAGAAGGCACAGTGTTGGAGTCACCAATACCAACTCATTGAGGTTATAGTACATCCCAACAATTGACACCTACCAAGCAGTAACACTCATTACTCAAAATTAAATGACAAAATTAAAGTTGAAAATTGCACAATCATTCAATCATAATACAGTATTTAAAAATTTATTATATCATCATCATCATCTTTTTCTACTAATACCCAAAGGGTATTAGCAGAAATGGTGAAAAATCAAACTTTCATACTACCATATGGAATTTTCTTTTCTTTACCTTTTCTCCAAACTCTCCTATCAAGTTTTTAACCTGCAGTAAAGTTAAATTCCTTTCCTCAAAAGCTTGCTTAATACTATCAATCCACTTTCATCTAGGGTGTCCCTTTAGTTTTTCCCCTCTGATTTCAGAGAAGAGAAACTATCCAAATAGATATTTGGCTAGTTTCTCTTCTCCCATTCTTTCTAAATGGCCAAACCACCTCAGATTAGCCTCACTCTTGACTGAATACTTAGAAAATTTACAAGAAACTTTAAGTGGGCAAATAGTAAGTGTCCTCTTTCATAGCCTCTTCTTACACCATCAGGAAATAACAATTTCACAGCAGAGTTGAACTTTATTTGGAAGCTTCTCATTTGCCTTACAATCTTCCATCTGCCAGTGGCAAATATATTTATAAAAATTATGCATTTGATGAAAAAGTTTTTTGCTGAGATAATAGGTATAAACTTAAAAAATTACAAAAAATTTTTAGCAGACAAACTGTAAAAGTGTCCTCTTTCATAGCCCATTCATACACATAGTCCCTTCATACACTTTTACATTTGAAACATTTTTCATACAGGAAGAAAGGAGGACACTTTTACAGTAAAAAATTATCATGAATTTAAATTCATAATTTTCAGTCATCTTGTATCTTTTTTAATTGTCTAATGATTGCTACTTTCTTTGTTACACTCAGTTCCATACATTTTCTTTTTATACTTTTGCCACATTTCTCAGTTTCAATCTCTTTCTTTGCACAATCAGATTGTGTATATTACATAAATGCTGGCATCATCTTTGAGCAGAATCTGAAAGTCAGTATTATTGACTAGTACAGGGGTGTCCAACCTTTTTGTTTCTCTGGGCCACACTGGAAGAAGTCATGGAGTTTTGAGACACAAGTATATTCTGTATATTTAAAGATTGAGCCACAAGTATATATGTATATTCGTAAAGTTTCTTTTTCCTGTCTTTCGATATCCGTGGTCCTTTCACCTTGTCTTCTCGTAGCTTCTGTCCCTACCTTCTTCCACACTTGCCCTATTGTTTCAACCATCACCAGTTTTTAGGCACTGAGCCATGCTTCCGTTATGGAGGATTATCTACACCTTTACATATTTAATTAATTAATTAATTAATTAATTTAACTTCGTACCCACGCTCGAGTCAGTGTGGGTACGAAGGGGATTAACATGTCTAGATTATAATAATAAGTATTAACATTTTATCACAAAAAATAATATTTTAAAAAATTACTTCTACAGACACTTTTAATTTTTACTTAGAAATAGATAAATTCATTTATTATAAAGAAGACAAAACAAAAATTTATTTGAAAACACAAATATTTGTTTTATTTGGGTCTCTAATTAAGAAAAAACAACAAAATACCATTTTAAAGTGCATTTTTATTCAACTAATATATTTATAAATAATATGTAGCCCAAAAAGTAGCCAATGCGCAAAATGATATTTTTTACACCAAACTAAAAAAAAAGTAGCCAAATCTGGCACAAAGTAGCCAAATCTTGCAATGCTGGAAGAAATACTAAATAAAACTGTTGTTGGGACTCAAATGATTATAGACCCAAATGTGGGGAAAGGAGAGAAAGGACAAAAGATAAAGAAGTGAGGAAGGTTGGAAAATTAAAGGTAAATATTTGCATAACAGAAGGTCTATTTAACCTTTCTCATTACTTTTTCATGAAACATTCATTTAAGGGGGTCTATAATCCTTTGAGTCAAAACTCCAGCTTTATTTAGTATTCCTTCCTCATTCACACATTTCCAAGTATTTGAAAATACAGTAGAGCATTGATTATCTGAATATCGATCAACCAAAACGTCAATTAACCGGAAGCTTTCCAGTCAGCAAATTTAAATTTTCACTAGTGCTGTGGCACTGCAATCTTTGGCTATGTCTTGGGCTACTCCAATATTATTTTTGTTGGTGTGTGTGTTTTAGCTGGCAGCACTGGCGCGATCATGAGAGAGTACTGAAGGACATGCAGGGATTTGAACAAATTTCAACATGGGATACGTTAATATATTTTTTCATACATAATTGGTTATCTGAAAAATTGATTTTCTGAACAACCTGTCCCCAATTGATTTGGATAATTGACGCTCTACTGCAGGGGTCGCCAAAGTGGTTGAGATATAACATTACTGGGGGTCAATTATCAAGCTTAAGATAAGGATAAGGGGGAGCTAAGGATCAAGCATATCTGTCTCACTGATTGTCAGTTACAAAAATTATTATTAACAAATATATAATAAATGGAAAAAAATGCAAAATTAAAAGAAATGTATTAAAATAGTAAGTATTTTGTTTTGCTTGTAACATAAACTTTTTGGTGGGGGTTGATGTGAGGTTTTGAAAACTTGTAGAGGGTCGATGATCAAAAAAGTTTGGCGACCCTTGCTCTACTGTAATTATAATACTACAAAAACAATCATATAATGTAAATAATACTACATTATTTACATTATATGTTTTTCAGATCATCTAATAACAATAAATTCAAAGGAAATCTTACCTGTAACGTTGGTGGAATATTTTCTTGATAAATTGATAAATTCAGTTTTAACTAATACAACAGAATTATCTTTAATTTGAAATACTTTGTAAAATTTTTTAATAATGCCAATGATAGTTTTTGTTTTCAAATAACTTAAAAATCCTTTCCTTTGTAATTCAGGCTTAATCATATCAATTTTTATTCCATTTGTAGCATGAAAAATTAAGTAGCAATAAATATTAATTTCCATTGAAATTTCTGTATATGATTTACAATGAGTTACAATATTTTCTGAAAATAAACCAAAAAATAGTATCAGTGTTCTAATGAAAATATATTAATATTTATATTTTTTTTATTTTTTCTGAAAAATAATTAAATAGAAACAACAAACAAACTATTAATCAGAAATAGGGACATCCCAATACTGCTAATACTGATACCATTTAGCTACTTTTCTTCAATATTTAGTACTTTCTGTACTTGACACTGTATTGATAATGGTCCAAAATGATACCATTATCAATATTTCAGGTATTGGATCTGGTATCATTACATTTTTCACAGACAAGTAATCCTGACAAAAACTAGATTTTGCATCCGAATCAAACACTGAATCTTACACTAATTTCAGTTAAGTTAATTAAACTTACATAGTAAATATTAATAATCAAATATCAATAAATTTATTAAATCATATTTTATTTCTAGAATCTATATGCACTTACAGTTCAGATTTATCAATATAAATAAATATTTAGATTTCTATTTGCCAAGTTTTTTCTTTATTCCAAACATTTTCGGCCTATTTGGATAGGCCATCTTCAGGCTTTACAATCATCGTTCCAAATGGAACCATTTCTTCGAATTTATTTCATTTTGAATGTTTTAATTTTAACAACTTTTGTATATACACAAGTAAATAAATAGCTAACTAAATAACATCAAAACACATTGCAAAATTAACAAAAACAGAAACAAAAATAAAAAACTAAAATTACACCAAATTTAAATGCATCTAAAAAACTAATTTCTATCTATAATCCTCAGATCCTATTTTTATGGATTATTAAAACCCATACTTTTTTCAATTTTGTATTTCCAAGCTGTTGGTAATGCATTTGCATCTTTTGCATTTAGGCATCGGTCCCTCATTTTACTTTTGTAAATCTCTATTTTTTCCATTTCCATCTCGATGGACAGTGAATGCTCCGTTCTAACGATCTTCACTTCATCCCATTTGACTACTGCTCCATCTGACTGTGCCATACTTGCCAATATCGTGCTATTAAGTCCTTTATTAACACTATATTTGTGCTCCTTTACACGTACCATAAGGTTTCTTCTGATCACCTCTTTATCAATTCTTAATTGTTGGTTCTCAATATAAGGTATGCTGTACACCCCCGCTTGCTCTTCCATTCTAATTTAGTCCTCATCGTTCCTTAATAATCTATATATATTAGGTGCTCATTTGTAAATTATCTTTACATTTTTGTATTTTCCCAACTCATTCACTACTTTCCTTGTTTGTTCATTGTATGTGAACTTGTTGAATGCAGTAGTGCTGTTATGCACTGTAGCTGTACTTTTTTGTTTACCATAGCTTTTGATAAGGCCTCTGATTGTGGACGTTTTGTACCCTAAACTCCTTGCTACCTTTTGAATTCTATCAATTTCTTTGTTCCTGTCTTGAACATTGGTGCAGTACAAGAAGGCCCTTTTGATAAGTGCTTTAAACGCAGATAGTTTGTATTTATACGGGTCCTTCGACCATAAGACGTCTCAGAGTCAGGATCCCTGACACCACTTAGTCAATTTGCAGACTTAAGATGTAAGTAAAATTATAAATCTATTTCCAGAATTTATAGGAGGGTCTATTTTTAATTAGTACAACAATGGAGTTAAGCATATGGAAACTGAACATGTTAATGATTAAAAGATATATATTTAATAAGTAAAATTAATCAAATCCATATATACAGTTATATATAAAAGATATATAAATCAAAATAAATAAAACATGCTAAAATGATAACAAAACTTCTAATTATTATTCTTCCTGAAAAACATAGCTCAAATTAATACCGCACTAACTAAATCATAAAGTGCCGAGAGAGAGAGAGAGAGAGAGAGTTTACATAATTATATTACCTAGATGACATGCAGTCTTCCATGATGAGATAAACTGACTACTTGACAAACTATATGACTGGACACCATAAGTTTGAACTTGCATCATAAAAGGTCAAGTGGACTGAGCTAAGTTGAACTATACTCAAGTTAAACTTAGTTAGTTACTAGCTAGCTAGCTGATGTTTAGAGGTGACCTATCCTCTTTTATAAGAAATCTCCTCCAATCAAATTGTTTAAAATAAGCCCTCTATGCTTCCAACATGTGACAGAAGTTGGACAGTTTTGCAGATAGTGTGTAAGAAATCCTACAATAAACTATAATTTTTGAAGAAACTGTATTATCTTTCTTCAACTAAACAAAAAGTTCCTTTTTCAACTTCGTACAATGTTTACAAAACTGATAAAATTCTATCAAAAATAATAACAAAATCTTGTTATATAATTTAACAAATTAAATTACTAACTCTGGATTCTCACAGTGATTCCTTTTTTAACAGACTTTATCTTCAATTTTATTTTTAAACTTAATTGTCATCCAACAAAATTCTACAACTGAAATTGTATACAGTGAGTGATCGGTTAACGAACAAATCGAATAACAAACACTATTGCAAAAGATTTTTATGTTTGGACAACAAACACCTCACAGAACAAACAAAGAAGAAGTGACATAAAATAATGAATACTGATTGGTCTTCCCTTGTCTTCAGGCAACAATTCAGAACTTTTTGGACGAAAGACGTCAACATCGATGCTCAACCCAGTATATACTAATCAGATAGTAGTCCTTCAATCATTGAAACCTCTCCCTTGTAATTCCAGCCTTTTATTTTTCTGACAGAAACAATTCTTTTATAGTATTTGAGAGACTGTCGGGCAGGTACTCGTTAAGTTTTGTGTCGGTTTTTATTTTTGAAAGGTGAGAGTATAATAGCAAAGGTAGAGAGTGGGCAGATGTCTGATGTTGCTGAGCAGTATGGCTTGAACAGTAGGTTGCAATTCAATCTTATATAAGAAAGATAAAGTATAATCAAGAAGACTCAAGCAGCTTAAGAAGTAACAAAAATCACATCTGAGAAATAAAGAACATTGAAGAGCTCATAATGGAACCTAAAACTAATCTGACGACAGAAGAACACCAAGAAACTTGGCGAGATATGTTTTCTTCTGAAAAAAGGATTAATGTCGATATCTGCTATTAAACATCTTTTGAAGAAGTGGGAGGATGTCAGAACAACAGTCTTAGAATGGCATCCAAACCAGGTTGAGGATAATAGGCTTGGGGATCTCTACAATTACAATGCTATTAATTACTTCAAAAAATCCTTAAGAAGAGAGAAAAATCAATCGACATTAAACAGATTCTTTAATTCCCACAAACAGAAAAAAACACGACTAATAAAAATGCAAGACTGTGTATATATATATATTTTTATTATATATATTTTTATATAAATAAATGTAGTAAGAAAGTAAATAATTTTTATTTTTTGGGGTCTCTAGAACAAATTAATCAAATTCCCATAAACCTATGGTAAATTGATAATCAGTTAACAAACAATTAGGATAGCAGACAAAGTCTTGGAATGGATTATGTTCGTTAACCAATCACCCACTGTATATTTGTTTGAACTAATATTTGTAGAATTTGAACACAATAAAGAACTTTCAATGTAAAGACATTATTTTACCTCTTCATCAACAATTTCTTGTCCATCTCTATACCATGTATCCACACAGTCCATTAGTAGGACTATAGGTTCTTTACACAACCATACACAACCCTTTGTGTATGGATACAGATCCATAAACAAAGGGTTGTGTATATAAGACATCATACAAGACATCTGAATGACACACTGCCTTCTGAACACAGATAGCTAGGATTCAATTCCCTGGAGTAAACAATAAACTTTTAATTGTTACTCTGGGGCCCACTCAGCCTTCATTGTAATGAATACAATACCTACTCAACAATAAATACACCTGGAAGGTAATGCCATACTGGACAATGACAGCTGGCAAGATTTCACGTTTTGATACCCAATGTTGATACTCATCAGTATCATCTTTTATGATATTGGAATGTCCCTAATCAGAAATAAATAAATCCAACTTAGTTCATATCATGCCAAGTTTTAAAAAAAGTTATTTAGGTTAATAATAGAAAATCAGGATTTTAACAAATAATAAAGTAACAAATATGCCTATATTTTGCATGGTTTATTTATACAGGTTTATGGTATTACTCAGCAAAGTTATAAAGAATATCATGAAATATGTACATATTTTGAATCTGACATCATGTCTTTATCTACTTAATATTAAATAAATAATGGAACAAACAGTCATTTAAATTATGCAATACTTTTGTCCATGTATTTTGCTTAAAATTATACAATATTTTACTATAGAAAATATTTTTGCTTAATATTTTACAAAATGACAGGATGTAATAGGGTACATATCTCCAGGAAAAAAAAATTATCAAAGTTTTTTTAACTTGTAGAAAAGTGACAGCTGTTTATGTACTTCATGAAAAACATTTGTCAGCCACTGTAATTATGGTACACATTACCATTGATAATTTAATAAAATGAATAATGATAAAAACTAACAAAAATGTTTAAGAGGTATTTAAAATTGAAACAAACTTAATACATAAAAAAGTATGCAATGAGTAAAAAGAATAAACAAACAAATGATTTATAAATCATGATATAAAATGGAAAAAATAAACATGAGAATTATGATTGAGTAAAACTAAAATTTGGCTGATAGTATTTACATTAAAATATAAATATGTTGAAGTTATAAAATATCTTCATTTTCATTTTATTTATATATAGGTATTCCTTGATTAATCAGTTAATTAATCCCTCAATGCTACTGTGCATTTCAAAAATCGCATTAATCAAAAATGGTATCTATGTTAAGTACAGACAGCTGGTAAAACCACATTAATTAAAACTTCTGTCACATATATAAAGGGACTGCCGCGATTAATTTTTGTGTATTAATCAAATCCCTCATTAAGCAAGGAATACCTGTAATAATTATAAATTACTTAGCCAGTAAAAAATATAAACTTATACAAAAATTGTAAAACATTAGAGATATGCACATTCCTACATATATAGTTAAGAATACATTGGAAATAAGACATGACAGATTCAGCCCTGATGCTTCATAAATCTGCACACATTTCACCACAGCACAAACTAATGGTAACTGTGTGCATTCTTAAATCAAATCTCACATCATGCTATTTACCTAAGAGCTGACTCCAAGTATTGTAGAATATGTTGATGAATATATTTTTTAGTAGAAAATAATTTTTATTCTTATAACAATCGTTTAGTTTTAATAAAGTAAACAATAATTTGTTAAATCAAGATGCTGTTTGTTATTAAATTTACTTTGTTTAATAAAATTATTGGTGGGACTTGACCCCTCTGGCCTTTAATGACCAACTATCCTAATTCTTATTAATAAAATAAACAGTAACAGCTTAGAGCCACATAAAAACTAATCTGTATTTTATCTTAAAATATGTTATCATTACTTTGTATTGCTTTCTCCAGATTTAATATAAATGGAACTAAAATTTTAATTATAAAAAGATTATGATGTGAATTACTTGTAACAAAAATATGCTCATTCCAATTTGACTTATAAGCATTAAAATCAAAAATTTGTTTACATTTAATGTCTAAATCCAATTTAGTCCTTTTTAGAAATAAAAAAAAAACTTTTATTTTAAACATTTTCAGAAAGTTTGATAAATTAGTTTAACAAAAATATGATCTCCTTTTCCAGTCTGTTTTTCAGGTTAAAAAAATCATTAGATTTCAAGTAAATAATAATCCAAATATAATTAAAAAAAAATTCTTTCTGCTTTTAAATTTGGCTTGATGATATGTTTTTAATTGTCAGATTGTTAAGAGTAACTTCAATGATTTGGCTAAATCTTTCCTATATGATAAGAAAAGAATATCTATGTAAATATATTATTATTAAACTACAGACTAATATGAGAAATACAATTAAAAATATATAGTGATCAGGAGGAAAGGGAAATGAACTGAGACACAATAGTTTGGGTCATTGTAAGCAAAATACTTTATGTGAACTTAGGTATTATTCTCAGTAGTTTTGGGAGAAACAGCTATTTGAAAATTGCTCACATACAACAATAATGAATGATACATGTGATACATTCACAGTAAACACTAAAAATTGTCAAAGTTTTAATTCTAAAATTAAGTTCTCTCTTTAAAAAAAGGAAAGGAAAATAAAACAGAATTATTTTAATATTAATAAAAATTAAGAAATGAACATAACACATCTTTTCAAAACATTTCAAAAGTACAAAGAAGAAACTGAAGTGTATTACATTTTGCTTTTTACACAATTAAATAAAAATCTGAAGACTGAATACCTTCAAAAGAGGATACAAATCTATATAAAAATAAAAATATTCACAAAGAAAAAAGTTGAAACAGTACAGTTTGAATGACAGACAAATATACAATTTTTGTCTTCTACAAAATTATAGTAATTAAAAATTAATTTTTCCTTACCTGATTGTACATTTTTAAATTTACAGAGATGTTTATCTTCCCATTCATTTCCTAACAGTGTGATGTTTTCTTCTTGTATGAGAAAGATCCCATAAAATAATGAAAGACTTTTTTTTACGAAGAAAGTTGAATGTTTGTAATAATTAGATTTTAATGAAATTTGATGCTGAATTTTAAGATGATTTTTTACATGTACCACTACTTGGTAAATTTCGTATTGTTCTTGAAAATACTCATTCAGATAGAGAATGAGAGGTTCTGTTAATAAACAAAATATTACAATATTAAAATTAATATCTTATTGTTTTATAGTAATAGTAATTTATTTAAAAAATATAAAGTTTGTAAGTTAGCATTCTTATACCATTATATATTATACTAAAGTAATAGTTTTATTGTTGTTGTCTCATTATACTATTTTTTTTATTTAAAAATTTAGAAAAAATTTTAAGTGAAAATAATTAATCAAATAAATATAATTTGAAGCATCTTACTGCTTTGTGTACTATAATCAGATACTGTATATTTAAAGTTTTCAGATGTAATCATTAGTAAATTAGACAAGTAAGCATTTATCAGTAAGAACCAGAGGATTGTAACATTTTATAATTCCTCATTAAATATTTACAGTTTATAATATAAAAATTAACATTAGCATTAATATTAATTCAGGATAAAATAAAATGAAACGGTTAAAATTAAAAATCATAGATATTCTAAAACTTTGACCTTTAGCATAACAATACATATTTTATAATTCAAACAATATAAAAATTTTTTTTAATTATAGATTAAAGTAATGTTTGTTTTTTTTTATACGTTTTGTTTCTCAAGAAATATTTCAAGTCAGAAATTCCTGAGAAATTTACTTTAATAAAGAGTAAAATATCCTATTATTTAGACTAGATATAATTTTTTTAATGCTACTTATACTACAGGCACTTCCTCATCCATCGCTAATAATGTAGACATAGAATTAGTTAATACACTCTCACTCATATTTCAGGAAACACTCACTAAATATACTAGTACAGATCCCACACAAAGACCACAAATACCAAAAATCAACATATCAAAGGAAGTAGGAAAAACATTAAATTATGTAAACACTCACTTACTACCAAACTACATTCATTCAATTTCTACACTCTCAGACATTCATACATTAGTTTATGCTGGGGCAATAACACACCATGGTCTAAAAATACAATTGCAGACAGATACACACAAAACACAATTCTATCACAAGCTTGCCTGGCAGAGAAGAATAGAAACACAAATAAATGACATTAGACAGCAATTAGGCAGGCTGACACAATACACTAAAAACAACATAACACCCAAATTAAAGAAACAACTCAAAAACATTTTCAAGAAAA